GTTGCTCTCTCAAGTTATTTTTAGAAACTAGATATTTTTATTGTTTAGACTCACATATATCAAATATATGTGGAGCAAACAAAATTATGCCTGTGAACATTTCGCAGGAACACATCACTCTCTGTTTCAGTTGGATCCATAATCTCTGCTGTGTAAATCCTACCTTCGTGCTGGACGGCCACACACTGGCTGCTGTGCTGACTGCATCTGTGATTGTCTATGGAGGAGCAGGCTCTGACGTCCATCGCTACCTCCTCTCCTAGAAATTACAATGATGGACATGGAAATGTATTGAATTAGCAAATAGATCATTTTATTGATTTATAACTACTACTGCCAATATTTTTTTAAACTGTATATTTTAGTTTACATAATTCCAATTCTATAAATTACAGTTAAATAATTAGCTTAAAATTCTGGGAACCAGCAAGCTTTTGGCAAGAACTGTTCTTATCAAGTGTACTAGGTATAGTGGAATTAATCCAAACACGGATGTTTACCATGTGCAACATGGATGTTTACCATGTGTTTCAGACAAAAAGGGGCTTTAAACTCATGCCCTGTTGCTGCTGATTCCTATGTCCAGTTGTTGTGCAGGGCATGGAGCAGTAAGAGCAGCGTGGTGGTATAAAAATAAAATTTGGATTTGGTCAGGCTTAGTTAGGTACTGGTTTCCTACACTGATACAGACCACACGCTTTGACTGTGCCCCCTCCAGGATGGATGCTTCTTTGCTAGGGGTCATAGCAGGATAACAGGGCATCTATCAAGGGCCGACGTCTGGAGATGATCAGTGGTCCTCATCTTATAGCTGGTCACAGACTACACCGGTACACCAACAACACTGGCATGTATACTGACATTTTTTTGGCCAGTCAAATTGCTGAAATTTGGTTCCCAGAAGAAGTGAAGTAAGAAATAGCAGCCTAACTGCTCTCACTGAGAAGACTGGGGGCTAGGAGGGAGTGTTAAATTGGCCAGCTATCGGACCATTTAGGGTGAAGTGCATTGTGATGTAAAATTGGGTAATATGAAGCTCTTTGGTTCCCTGCCCAGTTGAATACACCTCAGCTGTGGTTGGCAACTAACCAGGAAGAGAACTATTGGAGGTAGACAAAGCAATGGAAACACCTAACAATATATTCATATCAAAGATCTTATAAGGACTTCAGCTACTTTATGCTTTCAGAACAATTTGAGTCATTCTTGGAATGCTGTCATACAATTCCCGAACTGTGTGTAGTGGAATTTTCAACCATTCCTCAAGAAGAAAAGCCTTTTTAAGGGATGGGGGAAAAGTGCTTGCACCATAGGGTGTACCTAATTCGCTAAATTAACCTAATTTCTTGACCTTTATAGGACCATGCAGAACAACCTTGAAACCCATGGGAGAGCTGCCCATATCGTTATACCATACAAGACCATGTTTAACAGCTAGCACCCAATATTCTGGCTTTTTCCAAAGATAAAGCTGTCCAGATGCGGGAAACATGAATGAAAGATGACTCAGACCATATTGGTTGTTTCCATTTCTCAGGGATGCAGATTTTCTGCTTGTCACGCCAGGTTATTTGTCTTCAGGCTTTGGCCCTGGATACAAGTGGTTTCTAGACGGCAGGCCTGTCATAAATTCAAGCTCTTTGAAGCTCAAGATGTACAGATTTTGTTGAGTCTGGGCCACAGAGATGCTGATTCAGTTCTGTGGTCATTTTTGAGGCTGTATTTCTGTGGATTTTAGCAGCTCTGCTTTTAAGTGCCTGTCTATTCCTGTCTGTGATCTTACACTTGCATCCTCTGTTCCTCTTTACCGATGCAGTTCAACACATGCTGTCGTTTTTTCTGAGACTGCTTCTTTTGACATATGAAATGAATTTGCAGTTTTTCTGACTAATGTACCTGCAGTTTGGGCCCAGACTATCTGGCCTCTTTGGAACATCGTGTCAACCAGCATTCAACTGTGTTTGTCATTGAGATTTAGTTACTTCACAGTTAGTCCAGTGCTTCCAGTACTTGGTCCCGACTGCTGGTAACCCTGACGACCAGGGAGAGTGGGCAAAGCTTGAAGGAGGAATCAGTTTAGCAGATGGATGAGTGTCTTATTCCTAGCATAGCAAATCTGCAACATTAAAATGAATCCGTAGTAAAGACTCATCGTTGGGGTCAGCATAGGGTTCTATGAGTGCCAGAATGCATTTTAATGACTCCCGATACAAATGTAAAACACTGGGAATTTATTGTCCATACAGTTAAGCATTATTTTATTTGCGCATTATTTTATGTTTTTTTGTTAAACATTATTGAAGAAATGGAAGGCTGAAAAAGACACAAAAACCTTTCAGCCCTGGCAATAATAATATATTAGTTTCATTACAATGAATTTCATTTACTGAAATTCATAACAAACTCCTTAAATTTCTGTCATAAAATATATACAAGGGGCTTTAAAGTATTTTATAAGTTCAAGTAAATACTTCACATTGAGAAAGGACCATAAGATGTGTTGTGTGTAGGAATTTGAGTCTGAAGTAATGAAGTGCTTCACAGTGCTATTGACACATCAGTCGACACGGGTCAGTTTTCATTTTTGTAGTATAGGCACTCAAATTTCATAAGTGGCATATCCAAGATCCAGAGCCACAGAGTGGGTCTATCAGGCATTTCTGCAGAAACGTATGCTCAGTTTGTACCTCTGATGGTTTGGCTCGATCCTCACGTCGAGCCATACTGTATGTGATTTCTTATTGCTCCATTCCTCTTATCGAGTCTTGGTGATCCCTCCGTGAAATATACATTTCATTCAAGTTTCTCAACATTTATTGCTTAACCTTTTCTTATCCTCTCTAATTTTTTATAGGACATTTTGTTAACAGTTAAGCTGAGCGCTAACTGTTTTGATTGGCCTGACTGCTGCTTCGTTGCATTCCTACAAAGAACTGATGCTGGGGATGCACAACATACTGTTTAACGTATCAGCATCGATTGACAGTCGTTAAAAATTAAGATATCAGCACAAGAATACTGGTCGATATTGCTGGCTGATATTTCAACATCATGAGTATTTGAAGTTAGCATCACCAGAGCTAAAGCCATAACTACAAAAACATTGGAGATCATGGGCATTGTTTTGCCTATTTTAGCGCCCCCCTTCCCCCAAATAAATGTCTATTTATTGACTTAAGTTATGAATACCTTTTTATATTATATATAATAATATTGTATTGCCTACTGTACGTACTGTAATCAATCCAAATGCAACAACGCTTCTCCAAATTCATAATGCCGGCTATGTTTAGGTTCCAGGTTGCATAGAAGAGGTTGCACAAACCAGTACTTCAGTTGGTTGCCAAAAAGTGTAGGCCTTTAGTATTCGACACAGCTCGCAGCGGTGGGACTTCTGAAAGAAAACTGTAATAAGAGAATGAAGGTATATATTGTGACAACTTTTAGCCAAAGCAGGAAATTTATGAAGCTGTACAAAACTTGATAATGTGAAAATCATATATTTTCAAGTAGCCAATACAGTAATGTTATTCTGAACACATTTGGCAAAACAGACCAAGAATAGGAGCTTCTCATGTTACCTCAGGATGTCTAAAATATCTTTAGAAAAACAACAAATGAAAAATAACCCAAATTTTACCGAAATAACCAAAATGATTCTAATCATAATAACAATCATTTTATCCGTACAAGGCTGAAAGGATGTATTTACTAATTTCAGCTGCTAAGCGAATGGAAGGTTTTATACCTTTTAGAGTTGCCACTTTTGATGTGTGAAAAACCGGGACACTCTGCATGACTTTTTTGGGGGGGCGGGCATTAAACCATTTCTGCAAAAATACTATGTTAATAGAGGTAGGAATCTCTTATTGCCACTCTTATCTAAATTTGTCCTGACACAGACGCAGTTGCACTCACTCTGAAGTCTGCTGCTGTCCCTCTCTGCGTTAAATACAGATTTTTTGCTTTAATGAGTAAATATATATTGTCGAATTATAATCTATTATTAAAACCGAACCAGAATATGTCCGAAGGTATACACGTATATATATTTTAGTTTTTGTGCTTCATAAAACACTCTGGTGCTACTTTGTTTTTGCATGATTTTCCAGCGCTGCCTTTCCTTCATATTTAACTGAAATTTTGGCTGGAGACAAAACACGAGTAATCGCTTTTTCTTCAAAGTGAATGTGAATGCGAGCGGCAGACCGATAGCTCGCGCAGTTGCTAGGTAATAAGGCAAACTTCGTATTTCTGCTACCAATGAAATAAAAGTATAAATGTGGCCGATCGTCGCTGTGTTTCAGCCGTTTTTATCCGTGTACAGACACAGGATTGGATATATAAACATGAATGGAAGAAAAAAAGAATAGCGGTAGAAGGAAAGCAAGTCAGGTTGGATTTGAAACTACGAAAAACTAAGTTAGACGTACATTTTCACAAAAAAACCGGGACAATTTGCGTCCCGAGAATGAGCGGGGACAGTTGCTCAAAAAAGAGAGTAGTCCCGGAAAACTTGAACAGGTGGCAAGCCCAAAACCTCACTCAATATTTTTTTCATTCAAAATGAACAACTGAGATAGCCTAGCCTAAACCTAAAAAAATAATAATATAAAAAAAAATCTGTGAGGTTTTAAAACCCAACGATCACAGTTTCTATGATGAGGTTTACCGTTGAATTTTACCTTAGACCTCCCGTTTTTTCACTGAATTTAATAGCGCGCTGTAGTTTGCTGTGCGTCTTTTTGTTGTCGGTGAGATCGAGTCTGGCTGAACTGCGTTTCATTTACCATTCTTGTTTATCGAGAATTCTAGATTAACCCACTGCAAAATATATCTACTGTGTTTAGCTTGTGTTTATTGAGGGGGCTCAGTCCCCCTAATTTCCAAATCCTAGACATCACCCGCGACATCATTTTAAATCTGGCCCAGAGGAAGAAATTTTTCTTTTTTCACCATTGGATAAACTCCCCCCAACTTCTCCCCCCTTGGCAAGTAGCTCACAGTTTAGCCGGTTCTGGGTATTAGCGATGTTTGACAGAAATATACTGTATTGGTTATTTGTCGCGATCTTTTAGCATGTGAAAGACTTACAGACAGGACAGGAGAGAGGGATGGATGTGCAGCTGTGTGACACGGCTGAGTGCCCCACGTCCCGTACGCTGACTGACGTGCGGCCATGCTCACACCAGCAAAGTGGGCTACTCCTGGCAGGAGACAAGCAGGTGGATCTAAGGAGGCCAAGAACAATGAAATGCTTTGTCATTCGAGGTTTTTTTTTTCCCATAAAAATAGAATCTCTAGGGATATTTTTTTTACTTAAACAAGGATGTAATTTAAAGTGACTGAAATGGGTTACCATTACCAGTGGGTAACATGGTGTGCAGATCAGCTGTTATGAAGGCTGGGTGAGATTAATAAGCATTTTTAACATCCAAGCCTCCTGAGACAGTGCTGTATTCAGGTAGCACTTTCATGATTTGGCTGTTTGGGCTGTGTGTGTTAAATTATCTTCTAGATATCTTCTACGTATTTGTTTTCCTGTGTGGAATGAAAGGGATGGTGTGTGTGTGTGTTTGTGTGTGGGCGTTTAGTGGGGCATTGATGAGTTAGTGTGTTGTGTGGAAAGTGTGTGTGTGTACATGCACGTTTATTTGTGTGTGTGTGCGCGCACGGTGGAGGTTTCGGATTCATGAACAGACAGCGCAGTCAGGCAGCCAGTTTACGCTGCGGGATGCATAGATCAATATGCTTCGATCCCTGCCCTCGCTCTCTTTGTCTGTCTCCGTGAACCCCCCCCTGTCCCCCAATTCTCTGAAGCCTCAGGCACACATGTAGGACCTCTCCGACTCTCCGAGACACTCCAGCCCAAGAGTCAGCGCCAGCACTAATAACCCCCTCACAAAAACCAGCGTGTTGTTATTTCCCACGGTGCACAAAATGCCAGTGTGTGCGCAAAGGGGAGCTCCGCTTCTTCCCGGGGCCTGGGTTTCATTCCCACCCCCCATCCACGGCACATCGCAGAGGGAAAATGAAACGACCGGAAGGTGACCTTGACCTCGCCATTAACCACGCCTCACTGCCTTGTTCCCTGAGTGCTGCTTCGTTAATTAGGTAGAAGGCAGAAATTAGCCGAAGACAAAATGCCTCTATATAGTGAGGTTCATGTTAAAATATAGTGTTTAACCTAAAAGAATTGACAGACATTGAGCTAAACATTAAGTGGTGTGGCAGAAGATTTCTCAGTTTAATCGTGAGATTAAAGCTGCTGTCAGCCACAGTACGAAGCGAAGGGAGACATTTCTGGGCCGTATTGTTCTTATAAAGCAATTGCTGCATATTAGTGACAATATTATGGACATTTCACATGACAGAATGTCAAACAATTACGGAATTTATCTTTCCAGCATTGAACACACTGCCTGCCCATGAACAGACCATTGAGACAGGACCCTGTTTTCACTGGGCGGAGCGCTATCGCTAGCTTCAGTTACAAGTACCTCATTTTTATTCGCCTACAGCGGTACACCTGTTCCCATTTCCCCCTGTTTCTGCAGGCTGCTTGCTGACTGTTTCCTGCTCACAGTAGAAAGCCACACAGCGTTGATGGCTGAACGGGATCCTCTGTTTCCGCTGCGATGTCTCACACAGCAGTGTAACCAGCAGGGTTTTCCTGCGGAGTAAACCAATCAATGGCAGCACTGGCAGGGTGGCTATGCGACTGTAGTTTGTAGGGTCACCCAAACTTTCCAGCACACAAACATACCCTCCGTGCTCAGGTAAACTCCCTCTCTGGCTGGCATCTGTTCTGATGCTTAGCTTCTGAGAGCCCATCCTACATTGAATCTCGGCGTTGAGCACAGTCACAGCCCACCACTCTGTATGCTCTTTGCTGTTAGTCACTTTTATCCAGAGTGATGGACCCCCAATTCCAACTCATCCCACTGGGCGTGTTTTCTGAAGCGGGTTAAGTAACGTGTTCAATGACGTGAGGTGTGGTTTTTTTCTTGCTTGGGTTGCGGTCAGCAGCCTCTTCTTTACAAGGCCAGTTTTTTAACCTACACCCCGACATCCTGGATCCAGTCCTTCATCCCGTTATAAATAGCCAGATATGCTTGGTTTGAACCAGATGTATTAAAAGGGTTAGGGGTTAGTAGACACACAGTCTAATCAGAATGGTAATCATTGTGCACAGGGGAGAGAAGGCCCACAATGAGAACAAATGGGGTACATTTACTAGAAGCACAGAACACCCAGTTTGATATGATTCTGTATTCTCATTTAAGCTCATGAGCTGACAAAGAAGCAGAATTCTTATAAACAGTCAAACAGTCATGAAATCGTCATTTTCCCTTCCCTAGGAATAGCCTTTCTTACAAGAAAGTGCATGTCTTGTCAAAAAAGTCACTGTCTGGACCATAAGAAATAAGTGGTTGATCACATGACCTGCACCTTCTCTTCATTAGCACAGATTTTTGATTGTGATCTCCTCAGGCTAACATTGGGCTCAGTTTGTGCTGGTTCGCTTATAGCAGAATGGGCCCACCCCATAGATGCTGACAGACCCAGACTGTTCCGGAGGAGTATCCATCTTCTGAGAACATCAGAATTGCAGTTGAGTTGCGGTAGACCAGATGTCCTGGGGTGGGCTGTTTTGGTTAATGAACCCTTTAACTTGCTATTCCTGTGACGTAATAATTTTATTTTGGTTCTGTTTTGTTTTTTGGCTCACACCCAGAGCTTTCTCTCTGCTTGCTCATGCTCTATTGCCCAAGCTTGTACACTACTGGAGAATTTTTCAAGACCAGCCACCAGTTTTCTTTCCTTATGTCTTTTCCTTGTACTGAAGTTATCATTGGCTTTCATTCCTCTCTATTGTTTTTAAACCCATTTCCACTCCTGTGCTTGAAATTCTTGGTCTGTCATCTCATCCCCGTGTCACTTGGGTCTCCCACAACACCGTTGAGGCGAAACAGTGAATCTGAAATGGCCTCTTGCATGAAAGTGAATTAATGAGTGCACGAGTTCCCCGTGATGGACTGGAGTCTCACAAACATCATGCCCTCCCCCGTGATTTGCTCTTCCTGAGTTACAGCCATCCTGCTGGCTGAGCGGTTTCTGAAGATTGACACGTAGTTTCGAAAGGCTGAAAGTAAATGTGTGTGTGAAATGTGTGTCTTTCGAAACAGCAACACAACCAGCCACAAACCCATAAAACTCGCATTAGGAGAATGTGAAAATGAACCAGTTTTTATTGCCTATTCAGAGGCAAATTTCCTGTGACGTGTTGAACCTGTCCAGCAAGTAAAAGTGTGTGGGGTTTTGTTTAAAAGGAAGGTTTAGTCAAGAAGGTTGATCCTTTGTAAAGAACAATATGCATACATAATCTGTAGCAAAGGCTAAGAAATGAAAAACACAACTATCAAATCAATGGCTGAACTCCCACTCAGAGATATTTCTGGACCAGCAAAATAAATTAATATAGCAAAAACACAGCCTTCAGTTCAAGTGAAGTAGATTTAGCTGTACTTAAGCTCTCTCTTTCTGTCTGTCTCTCTCACTCTCTTTCTGCCTCTCTCTTGCACACATACACACAAAATGTGCACCCTGGCAAGAAGACTCTCACACATCTCTCCTTGTACACTCCACACACTCCGATGCATGCACTTGTGAGTCATATAACAGATCATGGCCACACGCATTTTACCACATGTATGTAGCACACGTGTGCATACACAGGACATGTGTGATATTGATGTCCCTCTACATGGAGCTATCAGAACAGAATCCCCGCAGCTCGATTGGTGATATTCTGGGGTAAAATCAGGCCTGGTGTATTTATATCTGGTTAAGGCCCTCAAGGCAGATGACACATTTTATGCTTTAACTTTGGATACAATAACATTTAGCTCATCTGGATTTTGATGTGATCTTCATTTCTAAACTGTTGGCTTAGAGAAGGGTTCTCACATGCAGTTTTATCACTTGCATTTGTGTGGCATCTTCGTTTCCATCTCCAAAGGTTGCCCATTCAAAATGTGCATGCAGCCATTCCTATAGGCCAGTGTTTCCAAACCTGGTCCTAGGAGACCCATAGACAGTCCATGTTTTTGCTTCCTCCCAGGGAGCAAAGATGTGGACTGTCTGACTGGGAGCTAGAAGGGGGCAAAAATGTCGACCCGCAGTGGGTCTCCGAATACTGGAGTGGGAAAAACTGCTATAGGCGACATAGGAAGCTGCCTTGGGCACCAGCTTCTGAGTGGGCACTGGCTTGCCAGCTGATTTCACTTGTGTCAGATTGGGGAGCAGTAGCGGCAGTGATGCTCGCCTAGGGTGCCACATTGGCTTGGACCAATATAGTCTCTGTCCCTGCATAGTCTCTGTCCCACGGAGCCTTGCATCTCTCCCCCCCCCACCACAAACCCAAGTGTGGGTTGCTTGGCATCACCGGATAATATGCTGTAACTGGCCATGGCAGCGCCCGGCTGGGTTAATACGAGCAAGACCGGCGGGAGGGAGAGGAACTGGGCCAATACCCCGGGCACCTTGCATATTTCATAAGACTGCTACCCCTCCTTAACCGGAAGCTTGACACACTCCACTTTGAGCTCACAGTCAATCCCTGGCCAGCTCCCCGTCCATCATCAGGGCTGTCTGGAATTTCCTGGGAGGTTTTTTTTTTTTTTTTTTTTTGTCACGAGCAGCCCATGAATGTTGGTTCTTTTTGATTTGTTCATTCTGAACACACAGAACAGCCATACTGCAGAAGACTGCCCATGGCGTGATGTGTCTGTCAGGGCATTAGTCTGGAGGTGTTAGTCAAGGAGGCAATCTCTACATTTTTTCCCTGACTCGCTCAAGAGTTCCCGAATTCCTATATTACAGCTTGTGTCCCTCACTACATGGGGGGGGGGGGGGGGTTGCCAGCCATTGGATCTGAAGATATGCAGCAAAATATGGGCCTACAAGAGAATCCTTCATTTTACTACCATTCTGGGTGTGCATTGTGTTTCGATCGGTTCAAAAGTACACATAGTGTTGCCAGTGATACTTGCTAGTGAAACAACACGTATTGGACGGACAGGTGCATTTGAACATCAACTTGCTGTCGATCCTGGAGCCAACAAGTTCAAGAGTGGCTGTGAATGGTGGTTTACATGCAGCCCCCAGCCCTCTACCCCCCCAGTGTCAGCACTTTAAGAAGAAAAGTGCTGAAGTGGCAGTAGAGACCAAGGGAGGAGATGGGGCAAAACGGTGAAACTTTAATGATGCTGAGGAAAGTTTCTGCTTGCATGTTAAGTAGGCAGCCCCAACTGGGCAGGTGATCCAGTCTGTTGGTACCAGCAGTACTTGAGGCCGCAATATCAAGAGGATTTCTAGTGCCAGAAAGGTGCTTTGTATTGGGGGATTGGGGTCAGGCTACCGTCTTCATTCAGTTCTGGCGAATTTTGTTTCAGGGCACTTGTTGATTTCATACACATGTGCAACCTATAGGGGGAGAGTCTCACTCTCTACCACTGGCTCTTCTCATCTGTAGGAGCTGTGCGAGCATCGAGTATCTTCCCCATCCTCAGCGTCATCCTTCTCTTCATGGGGGGCCTCTGCATAGCTGCCAGTGAGTTCTACAAGTCGCGCCACAACATCATCCTCAGTTCCGGCATCTTCTTTGTGTCAGCAGGTAAGGGTGGCCAGGCCAGGTGAGGCTCCGTGAAAGGATGGAGGATGGGAGAGGGAGGGCGATGAGTGACATAAACACTGAGACAGAGAGCAAGGAAGGGTTCGAGTGGGGGATATTGGCCATTGGGCATGGCCAAGACTGCAGTAACTCCATTCTCGACGACCGACCAATCACAAGAGTGGCACTGGGGTTCAGAGACATGTGCCAGTGAGCATCTGTGATAAACCTCTAATTAGTTTAATCACACTCAGCAACCCCCCCCCCCCCCAACTCCCACCCCCGGTCACCCACAGCTCCACGTCCCAGTTGAGGGAAAGTACGTAAAATAGGACAGAGCGGAAGTACAGCCCAACCTGTTTCAGGACCTGCAACGTGGCCCAGCTAATGGTAGCCTTTTGTACCACAATCAGAATGAGACACGATCCCCCCCCCACTTTGCTAGGCTCAGAGCGACCCATTGGGATTAAACTCTAAAAATATGGTGTCCCTGACACATTCCTCTTGTGATCCATCATCACGCCTTCACAACGTTAAAGATATATTTTTTTGTGACTGAACAAAACATATTTATGATGTTATATTAAATAAAGGTAGCAGGAAAATGAGGGAAGCCTGTGATTGTGTTCCTGTTCTGGTCCCAGAGAGAGTTGAAAATCGGCTTCCGAGGGCCCCGTGTCTGAAGCGTCAGACGAGCCCTCCTGCTCCAGTGCCGGCTTGGTCAGCTGGAGTCATCCTGACATGTGGTGGCTCTTTCCGCCACATGGATTTACACGCCTGTGTGTATTGGCTCCCCGAGGGCAGAGAGAGACAAACTGCAATCTGCAAGAGCAGTGTTTCCCAACCCAGTCCTCAGGGACCCACAGACAGTCCACATTTTTGCTTCCTCCCAGCTCCCAGTAAGAGGAAAAAAACTGGACTGCAGATCCCTGAGGACTGGATAAGGAAACACTGAGCAAGAGCATCATTGTGTGCGAAGTTGATGCATGCAGCTGAATTGCGAGAACAACTTGGTGCTTTTATTCAAAGTCCTTTACAGATTTAAATGTTTCACTCATTTATAATGTTCGATAAAGTCCATTAAGCTTCATTATGGGTGTTGAGCATGGCCAAATTTAGGGGGGTGGTGGCCACTGGGCTAAGCAACCAGAAAAATTGTTTGGGTCGCCGACGACTCGGGGACCTGGTATATAGTCCAGGCTAGCTCACTCATAAGTCCTGCCTTGCTGTTGGGTGTAAGTACAAGACCCCTCATGACAGTTCGACCAAACATGCTGTAAGTTGTCACTTTGCACCCTTATTCTCATAGCCTACATGTTGTTTGTTGACGCCCCTTTGGTTCCTTATGCTGGGTATTGATTGAGCACCTATGCCAAGGTCCGTCAGGATGATATGGACCATCTCTATTCCAGCAATGCATGCGGAAATCCTTGACCATCTCTCTCTCTCTCTCTCTCTCTCTCTCTGTCTCATTGTTTCTCTGATCAGGCCTCAGCAACATCATTGGGATCATTGTCTACATATCAGCCAATGCGGGGGACCCCTCTAAGAGTGACTCCAAGAAGAACAGCTACTCGTACGGCTGGAGCTTCTACTTTGGTGCGCTGTCCTTCATCATCGCTGAGATGGTGGGCGTGTTGGCGGTCCACATGTTCATCGACCGGCACAGGCAGCTGCGAGTGGGTGTTGCCCGTGCCCCCGACTACCTGCAGAGCTCGGCCATTACGCGCATCCCCAGCTACCGTTACCGCTACCGCCGGCGCTCACGCTCCAGCTCGCGCTCCACGGAGCCATCACAGTCCCGCGACGCCTCGCCCGTGGGCCTCAAGGGCTTCAACACGCTGCCGTCCACTGAGATCTCCATGTACACGCTCACCCGGGATGCCCTGAAGCCCGCGACCACGCCCACCGCCACCTACAACTCCGAAAGGGACCACAACTTCCTGCAGGTGCACAACTGCATCCAAAAAGACCTGAAAGACTCATCCCACACCAACACAGCCAACCGACGCACCACCCCAGTATGAGACTGTCCCACGGTGGAGAGGGTGGAGGGCAGGGAAGGGGTGGGGTCGGCGTGGTGGCGAAGGGGGGGGGGAGGGGGTTGCATAGAACTGAGGAGGAGATACAGAGGAGCCCCGAATTCTACAGATAAGATGATATACAAGTTTCCATGTCAAAAAAAAAAAAAACAGAAAAAAAGTTTTAAAAAAGAAAATGCATGATTTTCCCATCTACCATTATTTAAAAGAAATTTTAAAAATGTTTGTAAGACATGAACTGGAATGAAATCTGGATGAATGGGAGAATAGGGGCAGGAGATCTGGGGTCAGTGAGGAGGTGGGGAAGGGGGTGGAGCAGACGGGACCGCAAACCCTCCCTCTTCACCCATCTCCGCCCTTCCACTTCTGTCTTTTATTTAATGTATTTATTGATTTTTTTCCTTTTTTTGCATTAAAACTGTGAAACCACCGTGGCTTGGGATTCGGAAAAAAAGTGGCTCAAACCACAAACAAAGTTAATATATGTATTAATTTTATATATGAATATATATATAAGTAAATATGTTAATAAATGACTGACTCCTGACACACAGAACAAACTAAATGAACTAACTGAATATTTGTGGAAGCTGAAGTGAGAGAAGTCATCTTGACCAGCTGCTTTAAAGACCGAAAAGAGACAAATAGCAATATTCCACAACGATGCTGCTGTTAGATCCAAACGCGCAAAGCAGTAAATGTTAGACAAATTCTATTCTTTTAAATGAACCTTCTCCTCTTTTTCTGGGACCCTGTTCCCTGTTCTTTTTTTCTGTCACCAAAGGAGAGTGAATCTGACAGCCCCCCGGCAGAAGATAACCACATTAAAAAAAATTAATAAAGCATAAATAGATTTTAAAAAATAAAAGCGAGGGAAAAAAGACTGATTTGGGGGAGGAAAAAAAAGGAAAGGAGATCAGGGAGAAAAAGAAGAGGATGCAAATCAAAAAACAAGAAAAAAAAAACAAGTATTAAATACTACAGGAGCTGAAGCTGAGTGACTCACAAATTTACATGCATGCTAAAAATTTACAGCAAATCTGCTCTTGAGAAACTTAAGTTTTAAAGGTTATTGGTAATTATAAGGAAAAAAAATGATGACGCCGAGTTTAAAATGTTTACGTTTTGTCTGTAATTGTACTTGTCTTTTTTATGATTTTTTTTGGTGGGGTTTTCATTTATTTTATGCTTTGGAAGGAAAAGCAAACTGCAATGAGCAAATGACCTTTTTTAATTTTTTATTTCTTTGTACATGTGTCCTTTTTTTCGATTTGAAAGCTCACACAGCCTTAGCCATATTTTTCTGCTCTGAGTTGCGTTGTGTTGTCCAAACAGAAACGGTCATTAAAGGTGCCAAAACTGAACAGTCCTAAACTTAGATGCATCCAGACCCCGTGATGAATAAAATTGGAACCCCAGAGGGAACAAAAATGATCCCGGTCCGTTTTTTTCCTTAATCTCTGTGACCCGTGCAGGGCTTCTAATGACTTAATGAGAGGTCCAGTACGTGGCTTGTCTGTGGGTCACAAAGCATGATTACTGAGCCTTTTTTTAACAGGTACTTAACTGGATGGTTCAGGTAACCACAGCATTACATGCAAATCAGCCTTCTATGTCTGTTATCTGGCGTTGTGGTCTGTGACTCTTCCAGAGTGTCTTATTTCAAATCGTTTTCAAGACAAGAGAGCCAGGGACTCTTCTGGGGAGGGGGGTAGCAGAGGGTCCAGTGTTGGTTTTGTCATGGGGGCCCAGAAATAATAATAAAGAGTGGGCCTGATTCTCCAAAACTTGGGGTTTCATGGAAACTATAATGTGCTTGTAGAATAGCGTCGAACTCTACCTGCAGATGTGTGGGCATGCTAAATGATGAGGCCGTGTTGATAATGCTGGCACCCACATCAACCTGTTGGGGGGGGGGGGGGGGGGGCAAGTTTATAGGAAGACACGATCTGCTTATGAAACCGGTGAGAAGATCTGGGCTCACATGACCATATCTTTGGTGGGAGGCTAATGGAACCTAGGAAGACGACTGAAAATAGTCCTGTCGACTCCTGGACTACATTCATTGCCGGAGCTGAAATTCAGCACGTGCAAGGCAGACATCATCAGGTACGATTATAGTTCAGGATGTTAAACTACCAGGGTCAACGTGGACACGGTTGATCCTTCTGCATCACGACTTTCCCCACGAGAGATTAAACGGGAGTTTTGCGAAAGCCACAGATGACTCATGAAGGCCATCAGAATACACACAAAACGTTTAGTATCTCATAAATGCGTAAAATGTATGTAACAATGCACAGATTAGCCTATCACAGACACAGATTATACAAACATTTTACATGGATTTATATGGTCCTGCTGAGACTGCTGCCCCTGCGACCCAACCTCGGATAAGCGTTGGAGGATGGATGGATGGATGGATTTATATGGTATTGTCTCTGACATTGTTATATATATTATTACCTAAATTTGTATATCTATACAAGACTAATAATTATTATTCAGTGGCAGACGGACAAATATGTTTTCCCTGATTCAGTTCCCCCTGTCTTTTCGTCCTTCCTGTCATTCTTGCTTTTCCTTCCTTCCTTCCCTGAATTTCTGTATCCCATCTCCTAATCCCAGGCCCATCCATCCCCGTAAAAGCACACTCAGGCTGGATTAGGGATGACGACTTGAATGAATGACAGTAGTTGTGAACCGGGGTTGAGAACTTTGGTCAGCTGGCTGGCATGAGATTTTCAATTTGAGGCAAGTCTGCACACACATTTACATGTATGAAACAATTTTATTACCTTGAAAATAATCCGTAGGGTTTGAAAATTGCCCCAAAGCTTCTGATTGAGCTAATTTTACGTTTATAATGGAATCATATAGATTTGCTGTAAAATTTCTTGCATGAACGTGAAATCCTGAAGGCACAAGTGTCACGCCACATGCGTGAGATTCGGCAGCCCATTCGACCATAACTGTACTTGTGCTGGATGGTTTTACCGCCTTGCCTGAATTACATGGGAGACTTCATTGTTTTATCCTGTGGAAAAACATGACTGTCTGTGCTCTGCTCCAGCATACTTCAAAGCACAGCAAGTAAATAAGACTTCTTTCAATGTGTAAATGCAGCCACATCCTCCATTTTACACACTAGCTGTATATTAGTACATGTCATTCCTCCCCGCGTAAGGTCTGGAGAATTTATGAACACAAGCTTTTTAGACAAGATATGAATATATGCTGAGTGTATCTGTGACTGTCAGCCCCACTGCATAGTCGCATACATTCTCTCCTTGCGATTTAGTGTGGAGCATCACAGTTTGAGTGCTTCTGTGTTAGCATGTGGAAATCTCTATACTTCACTCTCTCGCTGCCGTGCATCCTCTCTCCTGGTGGGATGATCAAAGCCTAGTATGTCTCAGCCGTGTAAGAAAGAACAGGGTGGAAGAATAGTGTAGGGTAACAGTGAGCGTAGTGAAGGCAAGATCAGCATACCACCCCCTTTTGGCTTGGAGGACGAATTGTTGATTCTTCTAATAGGGGAAAAAAATACTTGTTGCATAAACCCACCAAGACCAAATGATATTCTAGACGTTTTGGGTCTTTAACATTTTCAATAGATTTTTTAAATTAATTCTAAATTAATTCAGCCTGATGTATAACCGCACCACCTTTATAGAGATTCCTATTTCTTGGAGAGATCACTTAAGCCAGAAAAACCCAATGCTTGTGCCCATTTGCCCTATCAGAGAGCATGTGTGACAGCATTCCTGTGCAAGTCCACACTCACCGATCACGTGTATCATTTGCTCAGGCCGTGGCTAGCTGGGAAGCTGCTGGGGATGCGTGTTAACGAAACACCGTGGAGCCAGGGAACAGCTGCAGAAAAGGCGCTCACCTGCGTTTTTGGGTCAGGGACTGTTCGGGGCAATAGAACAGTAAGTACTTTCACAGAGCGGAGAAGCTGCTGGACAGGGGAAAAAAAGGAGATAGGAGCTAATTCAGCACAACCCTGGGCTGAGCTCAAACCCGTGACGTCAGACTGTAAGTCACCTCCTCTGTCTTCTGTTCAAAGAAAGAAGATATGTAAATGGCTGAATTTGTGTCTTAATGGCAGCGGGACCATATACGGTTCCGGCATAGCGGGAATGCAGAAAGAGAAGACCTGACACCTCAGTGGCAAAGTGACTTTAACTCCAGACCCAGAAGAAAGTCTTGGTGTCTCCCGGAATCGAGAGAGAGAATGAGATAGAGAGAGAGCGAGCTCTGTCCTGTTTGATGGGCTGCCAGCTACACCACCACTATTGGACAGGTGATGAACCATGCCAATTAATGTTCGATCTGCAGTCCTGTCTCTGCTTGTCGGGGTTGAAGCTGTTCCTCACTGACGAGATGGATGTTCATGTGTCGGGTGTAAAAGACAACATTTGATGCGGGGCTAATGTGATTGGCTTATTGCACCAGAACAAATAAGTTACAAAGGGGCAAAAAAGGGTATGAAAACAAGGTTAAACAGCAAGGGCAGGAAAAAAAAAGTGAAATTCCCTTTTTACAAATCAGTCTGAAAACTTTATCTCATGCACCCTCTTGTGGTGGCACCTGGCACTACAACAAGGGCCCTGGAGAGTCAATGGCAGTTAAGGTTGCGCCTCAGAAAACAGGTGTGGAATACTAATAGGTGCACAGCAGTGCACAGGAGCTGCAGCCCAGCAGGTTTAATAACACTGTCGGTCTCCCCCGGCCAAGGGAATGCGGACAAATGATGTTACACATGGGGGGTGGGATAGAGCCCGAACAGCATTTTGATAGCTGCGATCTTCACACTCAGGCTCCCGCCTTGTGAAAGGCAGCAGGGCACAGGTTCTCGTACCCCAGGCCACATCCTCCGCAGATCCAACACAAATCGTTTTGAGGGCATCAAAAAAAAGAAAAAAATGGCATGCAGAAGAACCAGGGAATGGGGGAGGGGGGGGGGTCCAGGAGGTCTGCGGCAAACGGCCCCATCACACATCCACCCCCCCCCCCCGCCCCCGTGGGGCAGAAGTCACTCCTGGACTCTGCTGCTGTGCCTGGGCTCGTAAACAGATATAATTACAGTACATAAGTATTCAACACGGCTGCTTACCAGGAGTCGCAAGTCAATTTTGCACAAAGCTGTCTGCAAAAGGCCCACCTCAAAGGGTGTCTGTACTCTGAAGCACAGTTCCATTCCCTTAAGCTTTCGGGAAACCTCACATTTTCAGAAACCAACATGCATTTTTAATATTTATGGCCTTTCACCAGACATGTACAACACCCCTTGACTTAATGATGAGGCTGCTTTGAAGCAGATTACGATAGGCTAAGTGGAATGGTCGACCTTGTCAGCTATGAAAAACGAACAGATATAGGATTTTGACCTGAATTAAATTTGAGAATAACTTTATTTTCATTATTGGCCAAAGGCGGAACTTCTGAAAATATCCAAGGATATATAGTGCTGTGCTGGAATTTCACGTGACACACATTGGGAACATCTCACCATCCCAGGAGGACACAGAAGTTCACAGTTTTTTTTTCTGACCAGCCAACATGTTTTCCCACAATGCACTGGGGCATATGATATAACATACTGTTTAAAATCCATTATATCATAGCACACATCACAAATACAGCCAAGTGCCCTCTGTCAGGTCAGCGGGTTAAAGTTTAACTAGGCTGGACCTGCTGCAGAACCAGTGAAATGGGAAAACAGAGGAAATTCATTTTTTTTCCTTTGGCATTTGTAGACTGCCAAGCCGTCCTCACGGTCACATGATTTTAAACTCTTTCTACGACTGCTGCTTTGCTGAACAAAGTTAAATGATGACGGTATCCAACAGCAGGGTACCTCCTAAGAACTGAGCTCAGAGTTTCGTTACAACCCACACCCCTTTATCCACCACCGAGAAAAAACATTCATTACGAGATGAAGTCTACAGTGCATCAGAGGCTGTCATGGCAAGTGCTGTTACTGGTTGATCAAAAAACGCCACCAATGGTAACAAAAACAACTCGCTTTTTAATAAGAGTCTGACAACAACAAATTTAGTGATGTAAAAGCTCAAATAGAATTACAAAATTATAAATATACAGAAATTCATTAACAGAATGACACTGAAGTCTCTGCACTTCAAAGCTCCTGAAAGCCATGGCGGAAGATTCCAGTCCAGGTTTATGTTACTTTTGGGTGTGGAGAGTGTGCGGGATTTGCAGATTTAGGCCAGGCTGTGGATCACCTGAATCCGGTCCTGGTACATGCTGTAGAAAGCTTGGGCGAGACTGACAAAGGGGGCTTCGCAGTTCTCAGTCTCCTTCTGTAACACACAGGCAGTCATGCACACACAGCCTGAATATGTGTATGTGTGTGTGTGCATGTATTACGTATGTATTACATTGTGGGGACCAAATGTCCCCACAATATCACAAAAACCTGTTATTTTGACATTGTGGGGACCATTTTATCAGTCCCCATAAGAGGAAATTTTATAAAAATCTGTAACTGCAATCAAAAAACTAAAAATGCCCAAAAATATTGTATTTTGTTTGGTTACTTATGGTTACCTTTAGGGCTGGGTTAGGGGTTAAGGGTGTCATAAGGGTGAGGGGAATAAAGCAGGACTATGGTAGCGAAATCTGTGTCCCAAATAAACAGCATCAGCCGGTGAATGTACAGCCCCAGCATCTTTCCTACAGGTTGAGGGGTGTGACAGCGCTTACGAAGGTGTGAGCAGAGCTCAGCGCTGCTGCCAGAGGGGGCAGGACAGCCGCCGCACGTGTGGGAGGGCATGTAAACTCACAGCCGAGGTCTCGTGGTACTCTAGGCCCTGGCTTTGGGCCCAGTTCTGGGCCACGGCCTTCTCCACCTCCCGCCGCGACGAGAGGTCCGACTTGTTGCCCACGAGCACCCCTGCATGGTATAAATGCACGTGACCATCAGTGGGCCGGCTGCCACCCCCACCCGCTGCAGGTAAGTCCGCCTCCCCTCCCCCATCCAATATCCCAGCCCTTCTCATCCAGCTTACCTGGGACTTGCTGGCCCTGGCTGTTTGTCCTCACCCGCTCCAACCAGCGACCGCAATTCCTGAACGACGCCTCACTGGTCAGATCAAAGACTAGGCACAGCACTGACGGCTGCCCCCACTAAGGAAAGGGGGACAGACACAGCTGTGAGCTCTGGGCCCTTCACGCCAGGATGCCCTGCTACTCCTATCAGAGCTGACGTTACTCCTGACGCCAAAGACGGACCACAGCTGCTACACCCAACTCCTGGTTTGTAGCTACAACACTTACAAACTCTGCCCCCACAATACTGCTGTACAAAGACGAAAGAAAGTAACTGCATATTTGCAGCTATGACCAAAATTGGATCTCTTAGGCTGTGTTTTATCTTGGGACAAAATATTAGTTGTATTGTAATAATAATAATAATAATAATAAATTTTATTTATAATGCACTTTTCATTAAAACAAATCTCAAAGTGCTCAGTTTTGAAGAGAACACTATCATTTACTGATTTGCTACACATTCAGTTAGACAGTCAAACTCTGAAGCCCCTTTTCTCAGTTTCAGTGTCAGTGTAGTTACCGTGTTATGCCTTCATACGGCAGGATACCTAGGAAGGGAAAATAGAGGCATATGGTTTTGGTTGTACTACATGAATAACTTTTGGTATAAAGTTCTCTCCTTTCAGAAAATTGATCATTGGAATTTTATTAATGTAACACCCTAGAACTATGACTGCCCTAATGACAGAAATAAGTAAGGCATAAAATTAAAATCGTAAGACATGCATGAGGTTGACATTTGCATTTAGTAATTACAGAGAACACCCTATTTGGGATGCTAGTACAACATCTACAACCTGCCTCGCGTTATGATGTCATTCAACGCTGGTACCAGTTTTTACGCCAGTGGAAAACCAACACCTTGAAGTACTGTACTTTTGGGACTTTCTTAAAGTCCCAAAAGTACGGTACCCGGTGTGGTGGAGAAGCGCCCCAATTCACCAATCCACATGCAAATTCCACACATATGTAGCTGGAAACAAAGCCCTCAGCCCAAAAGCTGTGTGGTCCCGGTGTCACCACACAAACGAACTGCTACCCAGAAACCAAGAACATACTGTATGCTGTCACCAGAACTCAGCTTCAATTAAGCCTCTTTAAGATAAAAAATATTTTTATCTTTAAGATAAAAAACATCCACAAAGTGAAATATTACTGCAGGATTAGCAAAGACAATGAAAAGCTGGACATTTTGGCCAACTGCTACTAATGTGACTAGAAGGACCTGCACAGATGTTTTTTGGTGAAGTTGGGTCAAGTGAGGACGAGTGAACGGCATGATGCTGCCCTCACCAGCTTCTCACATGGTTCTGCGAAGGTCTCCTTCCCAGCAGAGTCGAAAATGAACAGCTCCTACCCAGCAAGCAAAACAAAGGTGCGGGCAGATTAAAGACACGCAAAGGACTCAGAAATCCAGTAGGACCCTATCAGAACCATATGGAACTAACAAATGGGGGGGGGGGGGGGACTCACCACACTGTCGCTGCTGTCTGGGATATTCACAGATTTCACCAGAAGCTCCACTCCCGCAGTCTGGGGAAATTAAATCCACAAAGTCAACCATTATCAGCCCTGGAACTCAATGCTGCCTCCATTCCCCTGCAAGCCCTCTAGGGGGCGCTGTGCCTCCATTCCCTTGCAAGCCCCCCAGGGGGCGCTGTGCTATTCCACCCTAACTGTCCTTATTCTGAACTGAGGCACTCGGTTCTTTCCAAAGCTCAGGTGTATTAGGATTCAAAGGGACTGAGACACTCCCCCTGGTCCTGGCGAACTTCCCTTAAAAGCCTAACACGCTGACGAAGAATTTATTGACTACACATTTCACCAAACTGCACAAATTATTTTGAGAAAGGGGCTCCTTATTTTCTTCGGAAGCAAAATAAGGTAACAGGGATGATTCAGCACTTTAGGTGACCAAATGGGTAAAGTGGTGAAAGTTGCTTGTTCTCAGACCTCCGGACTGTTGGCTATGAAAGTAAAGTAAGGCACTGAGAAAAGAGGGGGAAATATATAAACGCTGTATATAAACACAAACAGTGCAGAAAGGGAGATCCTTTCATGGGTGAAATGTGTCTTTTGATTTTGATGGTTTTAACAAATAATACGTGCAAAAATTTAAAGTAAACAAACTGCTCTTGCCTCAAGTCATTTGTCAGCGTTAAGTAACAATGCCACAGCGTGACCGAGCTGCGGCCAGGGTAATTTACTTATTAATCATTTAAAGCCATTGAGGCAACTGCTGTGTCAACAATTTCTAAATAAAAATCCATAAACTTGGCAAATTAGAATGTCCTGATGTGCAGCTAATTAATATATCTGACTTTCACCGACAGTCTTTCATTAGGTACTTATAGGCACGGTACCATAACTGTGAAATAAAGCGTGGAAAATCTTTTGAAATGTTGATGCCTGGCTGTGAATTTCCTTTTTTACAGGGTTGAATGGGAGTGCTCATTAATATTCATGAGATAAGGCCTACCTGATTGGCCAGTAAATGCCTTAGAACAGGGCTGTCCAGTCATGCTCCTGGAGATACACCACCCTACAGAGTTTAGGTACAGCCCTAATTTAACACACCTGGTACAGATAATCAGGCCCATCAGTTGCATCTCAGTACAGCTACGTTGAAGCTAAGTTAGCTCTAATACTGAGATGCTACTGAAGGGCTTGATTATCTGTATCAGGTGTGTTAAAATAAGTCTGTACTTAAACTCGGCAGGATGGTAGATCTCCAGGAGCAGGGTTGGGCAGCCCTGCCTTAGACAGAAAAAACAAGTAGCATATGCTAATGAAGGGCGTTCACCAGCCAATCAGGTAGTGCTTCTCTGATAAATAGTAATGATTTCCCCCGAACCACCCTGTAAAACTAAAATTACCTCGCCGGCCAGCCCTCTTTCATGCAGCGTGAACATCGGCTTTGGTCTCAGTTAAGCCAGCCACGTGAACACCACGCCCCCGGCCCCTGCTCCCTATAATTGAATTCCCTTACAGAAAATTCACGATATATTTTAAATACATTAAATAATCGCATATATGCTAATAACATTTTAATTTTTGTTAGTTCTAAGCATCACCACTGCAAAACAAAGTTTAGCAATGTTTATTATTGCTGTCATAATTATTACTGTCAATACACATTCGGCCCATATACAGGCAGTAAGCGGGCAGCCCACCATGCTGTAGTTCCTCTGGAAATGGGCTCCGTCGCTGCGGAACATCTGACTCAGGGCACTTTTCCCCACGGCCGAATCTCCTGCGCCCACACAACATATTAAGCTGTTAAACTCTAAGAAACTACACACAAAGCACAAAACCCCCCAAAACAAATACACTAGATAAATCACTTAAAAGAGAGTAAGTTCTGAGGAAGCAGAAGGAGACAACTGCAAAACTATTGCCAGATTTGCCGGTGGAGGGTGCCAACTTCAACCATTACGAGCCACCATTTGGATTGGTGAAATAATTTGCACGGGAATTATTTGTTAGATAGGGATCTTAAATAAATCTCTTGGATGAAGTCGTGTTCAGCACTAGTCCCGAGTTCGCCAGTCAGACGGATGATACGTTCTGCACGAAAAGTTAACGGTAAAATCCGTTTAATTTCCAATACCATTGTTTAAATCAAGACCTACTGGATCCATAGTGAGTGATCATAGCACCAGGTACAGCCCATTTATTTGTGGGATATAATCCTGTCCCCTCGTATAACTAATTAAATCAATGAGTTTGGAAGGAAATTGCATACAATTGTACTGTAAACTGGCTAACAAGCTAGCCAGCAGTCTCGAGTTATCCTCAGCTATCCATCCAGGATCCAGCTATTATTCTCCAAGCGAAAGTGACAAAGACATTTGCTGAAATCAGATTTTTTTGTCTCTTTGTCTGATTTTCAGATCCGATTACTATTAGCTGCTAGACGCAATACACATTGTACTGAAATAACCAGCTAGCCAGCTAATCCCTGTTACAGCTTACCGACTACAATGCACCTCGCTCTCAGCTTCACCATGGTATAATGCGGTTCATAAAAATACAAAATTCGTCAGCACGAACCCCAAAATGTATCTCTAATCGTTTTATTTTTGGTAAAACATTCTCGAAATCAAGTTTAGTCCTGTTACTTAGCTTAGCTAGGCGTCTCTTAGCAACCGAAAGAACGATCCCCATTGGTTAACTTACTGAAAGTGTAGGTGCGTGAAATATACTATTGGTTCTCCTTCTTATAATGCGGACCAATAGACGAATCACTGATTCTGAAATAAGGTTTTTTATTGGACAACGTGTTCTGTAATCATATCTAGAAAAACTAAAATAAAATAACTCCTACGCCTTAAAGTTCTGTTCGGTACAGCACACGACTTTACTGCGTACTGGCCTGAGAATTAATTACATCATATGATGTCAATGGCAACATTGCAACTGTGTGTGCAGATGTGAGGTGTGTTTCTGTGGGTTTCCTCCAGTAGTCTAAAAGCATGCGGGTAGGTGAATCGGTGTCTTTAGATTGCCAGCAGTGCATGTTTGCCCTGTGATGTACCAGCAACCTGTGCAGGGTGTCCCCTGCCACGTGTCCTGTCCTTTCTGGGATGGGCTTCAGGGAAAAAATATAAAATAATTTATTAATGTGTTTTGCTTTTTTAAAACCAGTCATTTCCACCATTATTTCAAAAATCCCTGGAAGGCTGTGGCCCAGCAGGATGTCCAGGTGTTTGTAAAATGACAAGGCCTCGGGGACTCGGTGACAACAAACACGCTAAGCTGAATGCAGTGGCTTGCTGCCTGGCTGTAACAAAAGCCTGCAGGTGCTGCATTCTCTTCGTGACTGAATAATATTGGCTCATTGAGGCTCAAGCGCCTCTGATGCATTGTGACAGGAGCAGAAGTGAAAAGCAAATTCAATGTGGTTAGTATCACTCTCTGGATCTGCCGAAAAATATTTTGATTGCGATGCACTCAATTTCGCCAAAGAATCTGAGTTCCTGTACTATGTATGCGCATTATATTTCGCGAGTAGCTCTTGAGGGCAGGTTCTTACCTGCAAAAGATATACAACCAGGTGGCATCCTGCACTGCAAACGCAGTGCAGATCAGAGCCCATCCTTCACTGTAGCTTTAACTTTCAATAGCCAGAGAACGAAGATTATGGCTCTCTCAGGGAATGTGCACTGAAAGAATTCTGCTATTCAGCAGAGCTTGTGTTAAGTGTTTCTCCAACGAGAGCCAATATTGTTCCCAAATGTGTTGGAAAAAACCTTACACCATACCGAGTCAGCAATTTAATATTATTAATCCACAGAGATGCCCCTGATGTCATCAGTACGCTCCTAAAATGAGACTAGACTTATACACTATGGTGGAAATGCAGAGCTGTAATACCTCTCCACTATGTTTAGGAAGTAGAGGTTAACATGCCTTTCAGACTCGCACCCTCGTGAACTTTTCGAAAGTCACACAACATTACACAATAGTGGCAGTGAAACCTCACTGCATCTCATCACAATTTACTGATAACAAATACACTTTAGACACATTTGTATTACTATAATTCATCCATAGATGTATATTATATGAGTGAATAAGTTTGCTCTACATTTATGAATATGGTTAATATATACTTCACTGCAGTATTTTAGCAGGGAATATTTTTAAACCGTACAGATTAGTACAGACATTAAACACTAATTAGACCAATAAAGTGAGAAGAAAATGGGCTGGAATAGCAACTACACCATTCATAATTCTTTTGGAACTGAGTTTAACATGCCTAATGTATAATTTACTGTATTACATTTACATTTACTTTCATTTCGCAGGACGCTTTTGTCCAAAGTGACTTTCAAGTCAGGCAAACGGCACATTAAAAACATTCATGCTGTTAAAGAGTCACCTAGACATCAGAGCAGCTAGGCTGAGCTTCCAGTGAATGATCAGCTACAATGAAATTGCAGATTTCCTATCATATTTCAATCTTTAATTTGCAATATCCATTTTTATTGACAATCTATTGTCAACTGTTCTATACATTACTTACAGTTCTGAAAATAATACGACCAATAATTGTTAATATGCATGCATCCATTCATTGATACTACTTATCTGGGTCGTAAGGAGCCTGGGGGATACCCCAAGAAGCAGGTCGGACCTGATTTCCTTTTTATTTTTGGGGGGGAGGGAACCCATACAAATACAGAGAAACTCCACACACTCAGAGCCAGGGTTGTGAGGCATGAAGGTGCAGTTCCAACCACCAAAATATACTAATGTAAAATGCTAATATAATGTGATAAGATAATACATCAACAGATGGATTTGTTGCCAGGAGGCAGTCTGTGCCTGTCATGGCAGTAATACTAGGACCCCCTGGTGGACAGATGTGGTGAGAGAAGACGATAAGCTGAAGGAGGTGGCCTTCAGGGCTATGCTTGCATTCGGGTCTGATGAGGAAGCTGAGAGGTCCTGACAGAGCTGCCGAAAAGGCAGACACAGGAGTGGGAGCTGGTGAAAGAGAGACTGGGGAGACGGTGGAGAGGGAGGGCTGTCCCAAAGTACCCCATGACAGTAAAACAAGAATGTTGGTCCCTATTTTTAGAAAGGGTGGCCAGAGGGTGTATTCCGGTCATGCTTAGTCTCCCTGGGAAAGCCTGAGTATTTGAGAGTCTAGCCTTGCGTTTAGAAGGAACAATGTGGATTTCAGGCTGGTCATCGAATAGTGGTCCAATTCTTCTCCCTCGCATAGCTGTGTGAGGGTTTGCGCAAATATGCTGACAGTCTATAAGCGTTTTGTGGACTTGGAGAAGGCGTGTGACCACATGCCCTGTGACACTCTGTGGGTGGTGCTGCAGGAGTACGAGACACCGCGCCTTTACTGCCTGGTGTTCTGTCCCAGTATGAATGCAGAAAGAGGTTTTCTACTTCCTTAGCCCCAAAACTGAAACTGTTAAGGGTAGCTGTTAGCATGTGGCAAAGGGTGTGTCTTGTCTCCTCTACTGTTTGTGTGGCAGCCCTGCTACTTGCAGACGATGTCATACTTTTGGCATCGCCCAGCCAAGACCTCCATCACACGCTACAGTGGTTTGATACCGAGTGTGAACCGGCAGGGATGAGGGTCTGCACCTCCAAACCCGAGGCCATGGCAAGAATCGATCGCTTCCTTCAAAGCAGGAGTCTGCACTGTGTAAAGGAGTCTAAGTAACTTTACTTCATGTTTTATGGGTGATGGTTAGAGGGAACAGGAGATTGACAGGCAGATTGGTTTGGTAACATACAGCTTTACTGGTCCCTACATCCTCTATTCTCACCAATGGTTAAGTCTGAAGTAGAAGCAGTCAAAATGAAGTTTCTTCACAGGGTTGAGGGACCTTGACATACAGCCACCGCTTCTCTGAATAGAACGCTTAGTGGTTCAGGCATCTTATAAGGATGCCACCTGGCCGGTTCCCAGTGGGGCTCCCCAGCCTGTCCCACAGGTATGGGCCTCAGGGAAGACCCAGGACATGCTAGAGGGATTCTGTCTCCCAAATGGCTCGAGAATGTCTAGGGATCCCCCATAATAAGCCGGAATATGTAGGAAAAAATGTGAGGCCTGATCTGTTCAACAAGCTACCGGTAAGATCCTGACCAGGAGAAGCAGCAGGAAAATGACATAATGAGATATTACATTTCATTGTTTTATTTAGTCATGATCTTGTTTCTGGCATTTTTACGGATTTGTTTTTCTTGCACGTTTATTGCATTTCAAAAAGAAAGCTTCACCTTTTCTGTTCAGTATGAAATAATGTCAAATTCTGATGTTGAAGACTGTGGTCAGGAAGGCTTTGAGTGGTAATTTCATATAATGGGCAGTGCGTTTGTTTTGTTATATTTTAAGAATTTTGTGTATACAACAGATAAAATGATCCTAGAAAATGGTTGGAGCAAGTATTAACTATGTTTACATGTATATATGCAAGTCTATTATGCCTTTTGCGTTACATCTGCGGGAGTGTGGGGTTTGAATCCTAGTGCTGCTGTTTCCTGTGTTTGCATCCTCTGTGTTTACAGTACATCCTCTCCTTGGGCTTCTTCCTGCAGTGCAAAAGCATGCACTTAGATGGATTAGTGTCCCTGAATTACCCATTGCTTTTGATTGTATGTGCAAGTGTATGTCCTGTGATAGTCAGGCATCCTGGCCAGTGCACAGCCCTGCTTTGTTCTCCATGATGCCTGGCATTACCCTGTCTAGGATAAGCAGCTGAATGACAGATGGATAATATGTGCAGTATAGGATTTTTTCAGCCTATAAAGTTTTAAGATTGCAAACAAGTAAAAAAATATATAATCCACTTATAGGTATGAGTCATCGGTCATCAGAGCTCAGTTGTGTTGAGTAAAACACTTGTGCAAACCTCATGCACATTTAACTCCCAAAACTCCTAAATTGCAAAATACTTACAAGATGATGCTGTCTCTAAGCACTGATTTCATTGCAGGATCATGTGTTCTTGTCAAAACCACAAGACTAATTCATAGAACTGACTTCTCTTTGCATGACTCATCTTAATAGAATACTAGAATACGAGGATTTCCAAGACGGCCATATTACAAGACAATTCAAAAGTCGATTTTATCAAAGCAACTTGTTGTAACATGTTGTTTGTTCGCTTGTTTATTTATCTTTACTCAGCAGCAGTTCAAGTCTATTAGTCGCAACACCAAATCATCACAGATTTGAAATGGCATCCTACTTTCGTTACAGATCTACAGCCCCACTGCTGTGTAAATTCTGCGAAACCTCAGAATAAGCTGTTCTAAATACAGCACGAGGTTTAAAATAAACTGATATATTTGTACTCCATTTTAAATTACAATCAATTTCGGACGCTTATTAGGATACTGTTCGCAGGAAACCCACACTTATTCTAAGGTAGACGGAAAACAAGTTCCGCTAGGGATTTAAATGAGCAAATGAAGCGAAAGCAGCGCCCCCTTCGTGCACTTTGGTAAATTTCTGTGTATCCTAATTAGACCTGATTTACACCGACGAATAACAACGTTAGTGACATATTTTGAAAAACACAAATTGCATCGTCTCTGGAAAACCTCGTAGCTTAATTATTTTATCGGACCGGATACCCTGCTATCTCATGTATTCCATTTGATGGATTCCTCCTTCTTTGCTGCCCGCACCCCTTTTTCTCCACCCTAACGTTACAAACCTGCATACATACACATACAGAGAGAGAGAGAGAGTGAGAGAGAGAGAGAGAGAGAGAGAGAGATCACAACATCACTATCATAACAAGGCAGGAGCCGGGTTAGGGGAGGCTGACCGGGAGAGAGCAGGTGGGTGTGAGAGGCGCAGATAGGGACGGACTGACTGCCTGTCAGCCGTGTTTCATGAACACGGGGCCTGATTGCACATAAACCCGGCGGCGGCTGAAATTTAGCACCGGTCTCACTGAAGGGGAATCCAAGCGAAAGATGGAGGGAATGGCGTACGGAGCGGGGAAGGCTGGCGGAGCCTTCGATCCGGTTACTTTCATCCGACAGCCGCACACCATTCTGCGGATGGTGTCCTGGGTAAGTGGCCGTAGAGACCCGGGGTCCATTACGGTTTACATCGCGCCCGTTGCATTGCTGATACCTATCAACCACTTGTATTGGTCCCTTGCAGATACATAACTTAACGGGTGCTGAATATTTACAAAAATCCCTGTTTTATCGGCTGTCAGACGTAAATTTAATTTCAGGCATGGAGCGCTGATATGTGACATTTTAGCTGGTGTTGTGACAAGGCTGGACACAGAAGATGTTGGTATTTAGTAGCAGATTTTAATAGAACTGATATTTGTATCTTTGAATCTCTGGTTATAAGATTTTGAAAGAGAGACTGAAATAGTATAGGCTATGTACATTTTGACACAAGCTTCACCTACCTCGTTTACCTAAAATCTCAAGATCTAGGCAAAATATTAACGTAAAGCCGAAAACCGAAACAGTTGCAATATGTAATATCAGATGTGCACTAAGAGGATGGCAGGTTTGGACTCCATGTTAGTTAATTAATTGCCGTTTGTTCAAACTCGTGTCTGCAGACTCCGCCACTTTACGAGACGCGCGAGCTGCGCTTCTGGGCAAATTAGGCAGGTGAGTCGAAACGGGAAAAAAAATCATGTGGATCATAAGATAATGAGCATAGTGGGTCCCCTCCCGGAGCAGGGAGCAGGAGCCCCCCCGCAGCCAGCCGGCGATGCTGGGTTTCCTGCCTCAACACGAGATGTCAAGGTTAAATCTGCTTCGGGGCGCAGAGACTCAGTTACACCACACAGCCCAAGGGTGTAACAGCACAATATAACATATTTCCATGCTAAATTCGTCTTTACTTTCACCCACTGGTTTACTGCATATGTAAAAAGGTAAGGTGCCCCCTTCACCCTGCATAATAGTTTTCATGTAATCAGCTGTTGAACATTGCCGGTTACATTACTTTGATTACAATCTGTCCCCAGTACATTTCACGTACTCCGACACTTTGCTGGCGAGCTGTGACATCCTGTCTATAACTCAGTGCTTATTTTGCTTGGCATCAACACGCATTGTTTAGATTTACACACCTCAATCCGAATCCGAATCGGAACGCTTACTAAACACACGCCGTATTTCGTATACAGTAGGTGGGTTTGCACCTTCCTTAATTAAATGTAGTAGACGTGAATGACGCAGCTTTGTCCTGACTTTTCTTTCCTGTAATAACCTCATTTTGTATTCGCTCTGATCGACAGTCTTGGCTGTAAAGGTTTCATTTCCAATTCAATCACCCGCTTTTTCCAAGGACTGATGTTATCTGTGCTTGTCTCCTCTTCCTAGATATGAAAATAACGATGATCCAGATATTGTAAGCATTAAGCGTGCAGTGAATTGAAATGGGACAGCTATCCGAAACATACTTAATGAATTTAAACCGCACTTTAAACTTTCGTATCTCTATTTGTAAACAAACATCTGTAGAGTGTTTAACGTGGAAGTTACTGCCTAATCCTGGAAGATTCTAAAGAATTACACTGTAGTGTAATTAGTGTAATTTTATTTTAATGTTGCGGGTATCATGGTAAGGATTTAAAAATGCTTTAATATGGGTATGAGTTGATTTTTAACAGAAAAAAAATCGTGTTGTTTCCCCCCCCCCCAGAATAAGCTTATGAAAAGCCTATATAGCATGTAATATATGATAGGTGTAACAACTGGCATTATTGCTAATTATTTAATCTGTTAACAAGTCAAACCGGAAGCTGGGGTATTTGTGTTTTCGCGCCCTGTCACGTGGTTGCAAACACGCACATGTGGCTCGCGCTCTGTAATAGTTTGATCTCCTTGTGTGGACAAATTGTGAAAGACTAAGATTGCGAAACAATTCTTATCACGTGTAACTTTGTGACCTGTATGTCCTTTTCTAAAAAGCGGTTTTGACCCACAGCTTTTGTATATGTTCAGTGCAGTTCCAGTGACTTAGGGCACCTGGGAAACTTGGTACCACCATGGAGGGTGGCCCGAGGCTCAGTGGGTAGCACTGTTGGTGTGTTCCATTTGACCTTTAAAGTTGGAATTTCTGAGCTCCTAGTCCGACATTTCAACTGGAACACCCCCTGAAGTCGGACTTCCGACTTGGAAAGTCGGAGGAACCTCAACAATCCCAGCCTCAGAATTCAAGATGGCTGCTCCAAGCATCCTTTGACACAGTAAAAAGCTGTAGTAATCATACTGTACTTATGTCTTATCTGTGTGTCATTAAATTTGTCGTACACACAATACTGTCCACCCTCTATCCATGGACATGTCGCTGTGGTGATTGTATGTGCAAAATACTGTGTAACGTGTTATCAACTTGTATCGCTAACAATGAACTTGACTAGAACTGGTATTGCTAGTGGCTAACGTGGCTAGTTGTAGTGGAACATGGTTAACTTGGGTGTGATGTCATTCCCAGCTCCTCCTTCTAAGGTAAATGGAAGGCAGCGTGTCTCCTCACCCCTGTAGGGTTCCATGTTCTCGTGTCAGTTTGTGCCCTGCCATGGCCTGGCATCCCATGCAGAGTGCCACCCAGCCTTTGTGACCCGCAGTCCCCAGGATAATGAAATGCCCCCCAGAATATGGCTGGATGGAGGTTCAATATAACAATTTTTTATTTCGATTTAATAACTAGGACAGGGTCACTGTGTGGTGTGACCCAGGGGTTTGTGTGCTGGCTCTGTTAGCTAGATTCTATCTGTACAGAAATGTAATAATATGTCACTGTGTTTCAAGGGCATATTGAAAGCAGGTAGCGTGGTGGCTAATCACACACAGTAACCCAGATGGGGCTACCTTAGCTCTTTGGAGTTCCCCCGGCTATTGTGACTGACCGGAATTGTGCCTTGACAGTGTCTAGCTGTATAAATGAGTACAAATGGTAAGTAGGTCTGGCCAGATGCGTCAGCTGGCTAAGAGGACACTAACAATGATGAAAGCTGTTGGTGATCGTGCTTCAGCTTTCTCCTCGTTTTCCTGTGCCTTTTTCACCGCTCATCTGAGCCCAGTGTGACACTGATTCTGTGGAGCTGGGGGCAGAGCCCACGGCGAACCTGCCTTTGCGGGACCGGGCAGCTGGAGCGGAAAGGCCCTCATAATGAAGTTACGACAGCCGCTGATCACGCACGAAAGCGTGAGGAGAAAACCAGGCACCCAGTCGCCGTCTCAAGCCGGATAGGCAAAGGCGGCTAACAGATTAGTGTCGGTAATGAGATAAATGTAACAGCCAGATTTATCGTCGGTGTTGAAAGGACCAAGGAGCCATGTTGCCATTGTGGCTTTCTCCGACATTATTGCATTGATAAACAAACAGCAAATTTTAATCAGGCTACTGGGCAATTATATGTAAAGGGCTATTTCATGTCACACCCATAATGCTGATAAAACACTGTATTTCTAATGCAAATATATGTAATATATGAATTTTTGAGGTTACATGAAAAGATATGCAAATTGACTCTAGTAATGATAGCAAGTTTCTCAGTACTTTGAGTAATTTTGTTTGCCAATAAGTATAAATGTTACATTCATAATGCAGGAATTGCCCTGCTTCATTCATTAGTGTTTGGCTAAATAAGTAAAATGTCGATTCCGCTCTTCAGTCTTACTCTCATATCAGCTTGTCTTTAAGGTCATGGGTAGGAGGTGTGTTGGTTCCTAACATCGTTCTGATGACTCGTTTCTCAAGTTTTGTTGTCACTCAGAATTAGATAAGCTGATGTTTGTGCAAGAGCAGACCAGCCATTATGAAAGCCAACAGTGCCGATTTCTGCTCTGAACTGCGTTCATTTTAAATACAGTGAAAGCCTGCATGCTGCATAAACAGGGTGTTCCTTCATAATCAGGGTGTTCCTTCATAAACAGGGTGTTCCTTCATAATCAGGGTGTTCCTTCGTAAACAGGGCGTTCCTTCATAAACAGGGTGTTCCTTCATAATCAGGGTGTTCCTTCATAAACAGGGTGTTCCTTCATAATCAGGGTGTTCCTTCATAATCAGGGTGTTCCTTCATAAATGGTGTTCTTTCTCACTGCGCTGATCATTACAGATGCATTGCGTTCTGCATGTGAGATTGCATGAAAACTGCAGATTCGTTCATGCGCTGCTTAATGCTTTGATCTTGAGGGTTGGTCTCAGTGTGCTGCCGTGCATGTGTAGTCATGTGGGCAGGTGTGCTCTGTGATCTTTCTCAGTCTTATGACTCAGATGTGTCGCTCAGAGGTCTCCGGCTCCATCTGAAGACAAAGGTCATAGAGGATTATGGTGGCAGGTGCGGGGGTGTAGGCTGAGGAAGATGTTGAGCGAAGCATGGAATAATGGAATGTGGCAGAGAGAGAGGGGGGGGATGGGGGGGCTGATCTCAGCTATGCATCAGTGTTTATATGGGTCAGCAGAAACAGTGTCCTATGTGTATTATCTATCTATCCATCCATCCATGTATATTCAGAAGCTGTTTTTTCAATTCAGGGTTAGGGGGCGGGGCACTGGAGCCTATACCTGAAGCTATGGGCACAAGGCAGGGAACAATCCAGGATGGGGCGCCAACCCATCGCAGGCTACTGTGTTTGATTCACTGTCATTGAAATGATTTGCACTCAAGTTATGAATGAATCCTCTTCTCAGTCCAATCAGGTGACTTCAAACTCAAAATTTAAAGACCAGTTGATTAATTTGTTCCATGGACGGGTGAGGGAGTGACACACATCATCACGGGTTGCTGTGAGACTGAGCCGTGATCACAAGTACACTCAAAAAGTGTTAGAGAATCCTACTGAAGTGTCTCTGGTAAATAACATCCGAGGCCCCTCACCTGTGTGGTGTCAGCTTTCAGGTTCTCTTCCTATACTGTACATGTGGTCATGCAGTTTCGCGGAGTTTAGCTTGCTGTTGCTGTTTGACCGTGAACCGGTGTGTTTTTGTGTGTGAACACTGTGTGACTGACAGAATCGCATTCTTTTCCACGCCTCTCGCTTCCCGGGATTGACTCAGGATCACCGCTGATGGGATAAGAGGTTAT